AGTTCAAATTATGTGATGACTTAGACAGGCAGTAGATTGTGAGCTCCCCGGCGTTCAAGATCCATCATAACGCCTACTAAAAAATACACAGGTTAACATTATAATTGACAAGTAGCATTTTTACGATGGTCATGTCTTCCGCAACTACCTCTAATGACCTTTCTGGCTAGAAGACTTCAATCCATTTTTAATGTTGTAAGTTTTCGTAATCGCTGGGCAACACCTACATATTGATTCACAAACATTCGTTTTTCTTGTTCGAAGAAATATGCTATCGTTTATTGAGTTATTAAGCACATGCATCAGGCTTGTCTTGTCGTGTAGCAGGCAACATCGGTCCACCTGTGTCCTGTTCACAAATAGGGTAGATGTAATCAACATGAGACCTTGGATCACTTCCACACAACCTCAACCAAATACGCTATTTACAAACATTCCTCCTCGTAGCCCTCCCAAAGAGTCATCTATTTTTAATTGATGATGGAGAGTTTCTTTTGACAATGCAAGTCAGGAGGGAGTGGTGATGATGACGACGATATCGAGGTCATATGCAACCAAGTTGTCAAATCATTGAAATCGTTTCGACCCAAACTGCCTGTCGTTTGGGAAATCAAATGTTCACGAAGGCTCAGGCAACACATATTACCACACTCGGCTTAAATTGCATCTTTACTGATTAATCCACATAGCGGTTTTGCATCTTAACCAAACATTCTCGTGTAAAGGCGAGTAGCCTTGTGATGTTACTGCCAGTAGTTTAGTTCTGGCATCAAATCATAAACCAGCGATTATGTAAAATTGTAATTGTTCAGCATCAGTACAACCTGGCCAACCTTTTCTTCGAATCATTGGCCGGAGCTCTCTTAACGCCTTAAATTACGTGTGTAAACGTGAAGTAGCCGACCAAATTATCTAACAGAGTTCAAACACAAGTGCAATTGAACAGCTTCTGCTCCAGTTAGCGTTTTTAAACCCCTCTTTAAAATGGGAGTAAAGACGGTTATTATTGTTGGTTATTATTGCCTGGAGACTTGATTTGTCCAAAATTTTGTAATTTGGACAAATTTCTTATAAGTTTGTTAGAAGTATCTTACTTTCGGCGAGATCCACAGTCATAGCTTAATGTGCATAATTATTATGCTGTACGAGGCACCCTATCAGGGCGATTAGAAACCGTCAGGGCAACAAATTTCGTGGACAATGCTCAGCAAGTTGCAGGCGATCCCACATTTTAAACAATTACAGATCCAGATTAAATCAAATTAATTAGTTTACTGGCGTTTTTTAAATAACAAAAACACATGGTTTCATTCATAACATTACAAAATAAATATATATTTGACCACAGCTCAGGTACAGGCTGGGACTTTGGTAGCCATAGCAGCATGTATGAAGTCGAGGGTGTCGTACAAGTACGCTGAGATCAACTGTACAGGTGTCATTAATTTATAAGCTCAATGTACAGCAAGGAATAGACGTGGGAGGCACTAATCACCATTTTTGTGGAATTTGTGCGGTATTTCACACGCTCGGATTCGGGGCTCGTGCCCAGGACCTAGCCAGTCTCCCAGAGAAAAGTGAGACGGCTAGCGGTAGTCAGAAACTGCATGTTTATCGTACGCACTGGATGTGCGAATGTTAATGGGGCTAAGATACTGCGTGGGTAAATAGAATGCTTCGATGTTCACGGATTGCCGTTTAGTCTGCGAGAGACAATACGAAGCTTCAACTCGATAAACGGTTCTCCAGGCATTATCTATGGCTGCATAAGGCAAATGTGCGCATGCATATCAATTTACCGAGAGTAATGGCGCATTCTATGAAACGTTTGATAAAAAACATTGCCAAGCCAAATGGACCAAAACCCCTAACATTTCACGTTTTCTTTAAGCCCAAACCATATCTGTTGAAGGCCCTGGCATGTGGTGTCGAACTACTCCGTGGCCGTCACGTGCTCTGATACCTGGGGATACTAAGAATAGCGAAGATGGCGAAGACAAACCGTTTACCAATTGGATCAACTTAGTCGTATTGTCGAGTGTGCGCATTAAAGGTAGTACCTGATCGACGCGATTGTTAACCAGAAGAATTGGAGTCAGCTAGTTGAAGCGCAAATGGCGAAATGGCCAGATGAGAAAAACAGGCAGCCGGGAAGGTAAATACACATGGGTGCATGCGTGAACGGGAACGCTGTGAGACGCAGTGTGGGGTGTTGAAGTATGCGGCGACTGAGTTGATAGGCGTGAATCATTACGATTCACTAAATCATCGTGATTGGAAACTCTGATCTAACCTTGGACACCAGATTCAACTGATCTACGCCCCAACAGAATGCTTGAGTGAAAAATATAACGACTGGCCAGTACAAAATTAATCTTTAGTCGTGTCAAAATTGTACGCAGGATATAAGTCAAGAATTTTAATTATGAAAAGTTATTCCGATACACACTAATAACAATATAATCACAGAACCGATGTCTGTTAAAAATTATTGAACTTACCTGGTCTTCTAACTATTTATGCAACCATTGGACGTGTCATATGTCTCAAGAGGCAATATTATGACAATGCCGCATCGTAATTTCTTAAATTCCAACAGAAAACCTAAGGGCATAGAAGTGTTTCTTATGTTTAAAAGCACTGCTATCTTGTATAATATAGAAAATTAGGCTCTGTACGCAAAGACTGCAGTGAATTCAGTGGGGTTGCTTTATTCTATCAGTATCTCATTCTCTGAATCTAAAGCATATTTAATTAAAAGAAAACAGATTTTATAAATAAAATACAGTTTCTTTGCTATCGTAGGCAAAAGCAAGCACCAATTACCTTTGCGTTGAGTATCTATTTTGTTATTATTGATTTGTCCTTTGTTTAGATTTTGTTCTCGCTTAGCGCCACAGTCAATTTGCTCATTGTGGAACGTGCCTACCGGGCGAAGACCTAAATAGGTAGATCACTGTGAGCCCGTCTCTCTTAGATGCCTGGCCTAACAGGGTTAACTTCCAAGCATACGATGGGAGACAAGCAGGATAAACCGAATGTATTCTATACTACGTCACACAAAGAGAGAGGGGGTAAAGCTCAGCGAGAGATCTAATTAAAAAAGGAAGAAGATGGCCATGAAGAGGGTCTGGCCTGCAATCAGGTCCGTTGGCGTGCCTTCAAGAAGGCGGACTGACGTAAAGGGTAAGGAGGAGGAGGAGGAGAGCGAGGAGGACAGATCGGCGAGAGTTCATCGAAAGGGCGTATTACGACTGAAAGAAACAAAACGCGGACGCCCCTTATTGTGTATAGGACACATTTGTCATTTAAAGTTTCGCATCTTTTTTTCATTCTGGCATGTCTACGTCACATGGGACCAGATTAGTAATCAATCCTTGTATGCGCTAACGAGATTTCAAGCAAAGCATCAATGTTGTTGTGCGACCCCGATGAATACTGGCCATTTCTGCCACTTCAACTGTCAGCAATTTACCTTATGCCTTAAGTAATATTTTGGTAACACTTAAGACACTTTATATCAATATCAACATAAAAAAAAACCAACTAAACTGATCAATTGTCCTGATAAACGTAAATGTTTGCTTTAGCCAAAAGAGAGTAAAGGTAAAATGGTTTCAAGAGCCAAAGTATCAACTAAAAATTGATCATCGTGTTAAATCTGCGCAGTTTTGATTTATGATCCTCATCAGCAACTTAATTTTAAGAGCCAAGAAGTATTCTTGGTACTGCTAACAATTTCATTCTCGACATAGCTATTCAGTGGGTGGTCTGTAACTTTTGCCGAAACTATGATGGCGATCCAACATTTAAAGCTCGATTACAGGTTAATCCATTAACAAGGTATTCGAATTTTTTTAATGCGAATTTTTTGTCAGATAAAATCCAGTAGAGAGGACACAAAATTTAGAATTAAAAAATTATTGGACGTAAACTAACATGTGCGACAAATTGCTGCATGATAAAACTTGTAAATGCAGCAGTATTGATACACTGTGTGGATTTTCCGGAGCAAATAAAATCGGACGAGTTCCATATTCTTTTTGGTCCATAGCGTGTACATAATCCCCGTCTTATCTTTACATCATTTTAAAATCGTCATTTTCGCAGTATATACCAAAGGAACTGATAATATCACTAAATAATCGACAAATCAGTTTTATCATCCTAGGTTTTCAAAGAAAAGAGAGTCCATATTGTTGATGACCGCCTGCATATGATGGCAGAGTATATGAACATGAATCTACCCAATTCACTAGAGGCTCGACACATATTAGCTGAACTCAGTTTTGTGGTATTAATCGGGTAAAAATACTAACGTGTATGTTACTGCGCCATCTAGGTACTAGAAAAGATATGTACATTACAGCAACATCAGCAACCAAGACAGGAATTATGTGAAGGGAAGATTCATATGAATGTCCAAGACATAAACCGATATAAAAAATGGCTGAATTAGCGATTCCTTAAATTAGAATGTCAAAAAATTAAAGGTAAGACCAAAACAAGAGCAACCTTTCTTACTTAATTTCAAACGCAGTTCCACAACGTTTTTTTTTCAATTTTAACTTAAAGATGAATTTTCTCACAGCATAAAAATAAAGTACTTTTTTCATGTTAGTAACAGATTAAGACATTATTTTACAAAGCTGAAGGCTGTATAATTTTGAGGGATTTTGGTGTTTGGTAAGATTTGTCATTTCAAGGATTTTTTTGTTTAGATAATTAAATTAGAAGTTATCATAGCTGACACCATTTTAAACTAGCGCTTGGTCGCGTTCTTTCAATCGAGGTGAAGTTTGAAGTGACTTTTGTTACTCCCCTGCTATTTGTAACTACTCATATCAATTAAACCCTTTAATTTTTTGTTAACAATCCTTCTACCAAATTTTAACTTTTAATGTATAACATTTCTCTGTCCGAAAATATTTTCTGATAGAAGACTGTTGCAAATAAATACTAAATTCACTTTTAGTGGCTTTTGGATTTGTGCACTATCCATGGCATCGCTTAGTCCTGAGCAACTTGCGGAGCTTGACAAGCTCAATGATGAAGAAAAATATGATGAAATCTACAACAAATTAAAAAGGTCAGATGGGAATTACAAAGATATGGGATATGAAGAACTGTGGAGACTTGGAAGAGTGCTTCGATTCTTAAGTACCTGTTTTAAAGTTGAACTTAGTAAATGTAATAGTTTTGACCGAAGGCCAGAACGACAAAAATCGCAGGTTGGCGTGGATTAAAGAAGGTCTGGACGCAATGAAAATAGCCGCTGAGAAATTTCCAAATGAGTGTCTCAGCAACACGGTAGGAAGTATATTACTTCGTGACTTCTAAAAGTGGTATGGCATACTTTTGAGTCTTGATGGAGAAGAGCATGATACAAAGACAAAAATTAAACAGGCCTACATTATCAAGGAATATTTTGATGTATGTTTAAACGTATTCACACATTTGGCACACTTATTTTAGAAAGGCTATGCAGCTGACCCCAAAGACTTTGTTACGCTTCAAAGTCTAGGAACATGGTTAGCCTCTTTTGTTTGCGATAGTTGTCTAGGTGCTTCGAAGTAGCGAGTTTGGGCAGTATTGAAAGAAAAATTGCCTCGTTTCTTTTTGCTACGCCACCCGTTTCCACATTTGAAGATGCTCTAAAGTACTTTTTAGAGGCCAATGAAGGTAACTATACTTTCAAGCAAAGATTGTAAAATAGTTAAACCATCGTATCCGCTTACGGTTTGTCGAATTGCCCAATGCTATTGGAAATTGGGCAATAAAGATGAAGCAAAAAAATTTGCTGAAGAAGCTCTTAAACTGAAAGCGACTGATGGTGACATTATAAAAGTAAGTTGGTGCATTTCCACTTAAATTTTGTAGGCACAAAAGGAATGTCGTCATTATGTGAAGTAAGAAATAGCATCAAGACATGGGGCGCACTGTTCCCAATATCTCGTGCAATTTCAGGCGCATAAACTCGGATATTTCAAACCGCTTTTGATATGCATTCCTTTTTCCACTTTCAATACAAATTTTGCTTCTCTGGTTATATTTCAAAGACTTGACAATGAATTGAAAACGCTATTTGCCTTAATGCTATTGAAAGTTTACGATTGATCTGGTTGAGTATTTGGCAAATAATTGCGTAGTTGACCTGTTGAACACCTAACTCAGAGCTAAACATACCTGTGTAATGTTTACCAGCATTATTGGGGAAACTTTCAACATTTATCACTTAAGACGAGACCAAATAATAATTCTTCAGGCCAATATTCATGATAGTTCGACCGACCTTCAGCATCAAGTAGGGCGTCAACTAGTTTTCGTGGCAGGAAGCACTTATATTAAACCAACCCATTGTACTTAAACTTATTATACTCTATGCGTTCGTTACAGGAACCACTTTGAGAGTTGTCAGTGGCTGTTTCAGTTGGTTTGCTAGTATTGTTTCAAGTAATCACAATTTGCGTAAATTAGGGAAATTGGTTTTGGTTTCTCTAACACATTCACGACTCGCTGCGACGTGAGTCTGTGCTAAGACTAGGATTCGCTGAAGATACTTGACTGCTTTGATTACACTGCACCAATGATTTTCATTTGCTAGTCAGCAGACGTTCTGACTTAACAACCCACTAAAAGCACAGAAGTTGTCCCCACCAAACTTCATCGTCAAATCAAAAGGTCACCATTGAACTGCAATGCACAACAGGATGTCTGTGAATTGTTACGGCACGAAGCAACCCAATTCACCCAATGAAGAAGTGAGGGGAGAGGATGACTCAGCCATTTTCTAGCTGTCTCAACCCAGTCGTGACTGTCACGCCGCTGCGTATAATAAGTCGTGTTCAACGAAAGTTCAAATGGCTAGATGGTCAGCTGAACGACATGGGTGATGTGGAGGAGGGACAAGCACAGGCGTGCATGAGCGGATGATTTAGCATGTTCGATGCGTGATGGAGGTCAGTGTGGCAGTGAATGCGACGACTGGGTTAATGGAAGGCTCAACTTCGTATGTTTGCTGTGACAGAAGCAAATCAAAATAATTTTTTAGTGAATAAGAATAGAAAATTCGTTTGGAACGAACTTTCTTGCGTCAAGTCGGCAACGTTGTAGCAACGAATTGATTGGGAGCCCTCGAAGTGTTGAATAATGGCCCCGCGATTCATTACAGTTGTTCTCCAGGGCATAAGAGGTCGATGAACCTCTTTCTCTAAGAGGAATTTTCAGATGTATGATGCAAGTTGGAATGAAACTGTTGTGCAGCCATTGATAAAGGTTGTGTTGATAAGGCCTAACATGTGACTCAAGGGGATCGGTCGTCTCCAGGCTATCATCGAAACAAATGGTCACTAGAAAGGTAATTGTGACTAACTGATGTTGAGGCTGAAATCACTTTTCCCAGTGGGTTATCTGATAGGTTGGTCGCAAATACCTTGAATAGATGGCGATTGGTCGTCATTGAGACGATTGAGTGTCGTTAGATTGTTGAAGACGTTGCCCGCCGTCGTAAGACTTTTTAGTGGAATCGATTTTAACGGCACAACCTTTTCTTCTAGCAGGATTGACGAATGATTGTACTAGATGACTGATTAATTTGCGGATTTGAAGAGCTACGAAAAGAGGGGGAGGTGGTGTGCCTAAAAATATGCAGCGACGGAGTTGATGAGGGTGAAACATCACGATTCATTACACCATCTTTTTGCATTACTGAAGCAAACATTTTCGCTGCTGAATAAGAAAGCGCCAACTTCTATGTGCTCCATTGTGTCTTGTTGTGTCAGCCACGGCGTAAATATGCAGAGTTAGAAGACGTTTCAGTCGCATAAATTCCTAAAATTTTTCGTCGTTGGGGGGCTGAAATTTTACAGAATGAAACTGCGACTAGTTTTCAGTTATATTTGGCACTTAAATGACACCATTTCTCCCACTATGTATCTTACTCTTTACTTCCTTCCTTCCTTTAAACTACCAATTATTTGGCACGTTGAAGACTTGTTCTTCGATTAAGAATAGCTTCTGTTAGATAAACGCACCCTCCTGTCTTTAGTTAAACATGGTGATTTTCCAAATAAGTTACGTTCAGGATTTTCATTTTTGTTCCTGATCCTTTTAATCAATAATACGTAACAAAAACCTGCGGCTATGGAGCCTTGGCCATTTTTGACTTAAAAAAAATTGGTACATAGTATGGTTTTTGTTCTAGAGTAATTTCATTAAAACACTCTTAACTAGCCTAAATAGCCCGACTTTATACGACACATACACAGTTAGAATAAACAGGAAAACGTCGTTTTTATGAATTGAACACAGAAACAATCGCTCCTAACTGGTGATAATAAAGTTGGCCTCCGTTTCTATAAGCAAAAGCATTTGAGTTCACTGGTTTTCCGTTTTACCGGGTTTCGATTGCTGCAATCTTTCCCGCCATTTGACTGAATAACACCAGCATGTAGGCCTTACATCCTGGATTTTTCCTCAGCCTAAATACAGAAGTTACACGGGTTTGCTAGGATGACTGCCACATGCTTATAATCTGATTAATTTTGATCGAAACAGCCAAAACAGCCAATTGTGACCAATAGACCGCTTAGAAAGTAAAGGTCGCTTTTCTTACCAACACAACAAGCTAGATATGCAAAAGCACGCAAATCAATTGCAAGTTGCATAGCCGCGTATTTAGTGGGCTTCTTTATTAGAAAACATTGTTTTGAAAGGTTACATAGTTTGGCACATTTTGGACTGTGTACGAATGTTACTGGACCGTGAGTCTAGCCCAGACATGCACATTGGAATCTGCAAGGTCTTAAGGATAGGTCACCAATCACCCAGCCTGGATTCATAGCCCGCATCTTCGACTGAACAAACTAACACCGCGTTACTTCCTGCGACACAAGAACAACATGTCGCTATGCTGCTTAACAGCCCAACTAAGTTGTAAGTGTGCTGTTTTTCCTTGTTAGCACTGTCAGCATTCATGTTTAGTCGTAGCAGAAAAAAGGAGATTAAGCGTGTTCTAATTCGTGACTTTGCACGCGCACATAGAGTCAGTAATTTTGTAACTCAACTACGTTTTGTCTGGCAGTAGAATTCCTGCAGTTCGGTCGGATGTTGCGAAAAAAGTTGTGGATATTCGAAACTCGGCCGGTGCTTACTTCGTGGACGGTGGCTAAAGCCAGCCAGCGACAGCTATGACGTGGTAAAAGCGGACCACTAATTTGCATACACTTGGGTTCCGGCACCACACGTGACTTTAACACTGACTAGAGCTCATTCAATTCCCAAAGATACTCTTGATGCGTTTGATGCTGTGCACAAAGTAGTGCTCTCAAAGGCATTGTTAGATTTTCAGCCATAATATGTCCCCAGCAGTGTCGTCTCATGTAAGGGAACCTCCTTGGATTTTGTAGCTAAAATCCACTCCACTCCTTTATTCAAGTACTTCTAAATCGTCGACTTGTGAAGGTATTACCTCTTGGCTGATTGAGATTCATTTCTAGTGATAAAGTACGCACTGTACAGCAAACACCAGCAGCCCGGATCCCAGCTATTCCCATTCTTTGATTAGCCTTACTGACCATGCATTTCGGCAACTTCCTTTGCCACCAGCACATCAAAATCGGCTAGCAGAGTTCGAGCCATTTTTTAATGTTGTAAGTTATCGCAATTGCTGGGCAACACCTAAATATTGATTCACAAACATACGTTTCTCTTGTTTGAAGAAATATTTTGTCTCCTATTGAGTTATTAAGCACGTACGACAAGCTTGTCTTGTCTTGTAGCAGGCAACATCAGTTCACCTGTGTCCTGTTCACAAATAGGGTAGATGCAATCAACATGAGGCCTTGGTTCACTTGCACACAACCGCAACCAAATACGCTATATACAAACATTCCTCCTCGTAGCCCTCCCCAAAAGTCATCTTTTTTTAATTGATGTAGGAGAGTTACTTTTGACAATGCAAGTCAGGAGGGAGTGGTGATGATGAGGTCATAAGCAACCAAGTTGACAAACCATTGAAGTCGTGAAGACCCAAACTGCCTGTCGTTTGGGAAATCAAATGTTCACGAAGGCTAAGGTAGCACACATTACCACACTCGGCTTAAATTGCATCTTTACTGATTAATGCACATACCGGTCTTGCATCTAAACCAAACATTCTCATGTAAAGGCGGTGTTCGAGTAAGCAAGTAGTCTGATGATGCTACTGCCAGTAGTTTAGTCCGGCACTAAATCATAATGCGGTGATTAGGTAAAATAGTATTTGTTCAGCATCAGTAGAAGCTGGTCAGCCTTTTCTTCAAATCATTACCCGAAGCTCCCTTACTGCCTGTTTTACCTTTTAAATTTAATCAGAACCTGAGCTTAGTGGTATCTGTATCTAGAAAATTAGTAAGATCAAACCATTGTATTTCGATTTTCGTAATTGCTTGGTACATAAGACCACCGCTAGATCTTATTCCTCCCAGTCCTGCGTGTCAGTGAACTAGGCGTTTAAGCATTTACTGTGTTCACATAAGGTGCTTTGCACTGTTGACGGCAGCACTTAATAAGAACTTTCATGTCTGGTCACGCCATTTGGTGTCAAGTAGCGACTTCTTATTGATTCACCGCCACCGAAGCAACTACCATCTTCAGTTTAACTCACGTTATGCACAGGTGAAAACTTGTCAGAGCTAAATATGGCTATGCTCGCCTCGAAAAACTAGCTCAACAAGTGAATTATCGTGCGTCGCATTGTGAAAAGATGACACACACCGAACCAGCAACGAGAGGCACATAAATGTCATTGTTTACGCTGATAATGAAACAAGGCAAGTAATTGCGTTGTATGTGCCCACTGACGCACTAATTTACTTGAATGTAAATCCATAATTTTGATGTACCTGTGTGTGTGAGTATGACATGATTTCCAATTTTTGCCATTTAGCGAGCTCATATACCAGGAACTAGGTGTCGCCGAGGCCCAATTGCTTGTGCGTGGATTCCGTGTTATTGTTGATCCAGCTCTTTACAAGGGGCAGACAATAGATTGACTTATCAGTTATCTCGTATTATCTTGTGAGAAGATGGCGCCTTGGAGATAAGCGAAGCTCCGCAAGTTGGAGTTCACGTAACAGCCCTGATCAAGGCTAAAGAAGGCGCTTCGAAGCCACAAACACCTGGCTACTCACCCCTAACCCCTGGCACTAACCCCCTCGAAAGAGGCTTGTTTATGAGACTTCACTGTTCGGTGCAGTCGGGTTAGTGTGGACCTATGTGATCCACGGAGTGGTTTGTGTGGTCGTTGCACCACGTTGTATTTGTGGCACTATGGCATGAGCAGCATTACGAAAGGCAGTAGAACATTATCAGCTTATCGATATTAGCTGAACAAGTCTCGCTACACTAAACTGGAATTAAATGAACGAGCAGACAAGAATTCCACAGTGTCAAATTCGAAAATAATGTCAGATTTCTCCCAAGTTTTTTTCTCATTTTCATTTTGGAACCTTGAATGTGGCGATAACCTATTAAAGATTGGTTTAATTTGTGCAGATATGCAGTCCTAAAATATGTTTCATCATCACCTTAGGTAAAACTAAACATGCGTTGCAAAATCTTTAAACTAATCTGCTAAAAGTGGATTAATATTGCGGTCTGAAGATTATCATAAATTATCAAGCAGCTATTTGGACTCAGGGAGAAAGACATTTTCGCGCTGATTTAAAGCCTACTCTTCCAGATCCCCGCTCTGAAATCAGATAATTTTAATTGTAGAAAGGTCAAGTATAGAAATATACGTGGAGTTGTTTAAATGGAACCGTACACAACTAAGAAATTGGAATTTCCCCGCTAAAAGGATTGCCATGCTGACGCACTGAATGTGTGAAATTGTTACACGACTTAAGAGACATTGATCAGTAGGCGTCCACAATCCTTGCAAGGTGACGCGAGTTAAATAAATGCTTGGTTGAATTTGGTTAGGAGGGTCTCTTGGTGTAATTAATTATTAGAAACACTATGATACAAGATTCTAGCTGGAAAGAAACAGTAGAAAACGCAGCTACAAATACGCTTGGTTCCATCGAAAAAATGAGCTGTTCTTGCTTAGCAACTGTAAAATTCTAAACCCTTGAGGCATTTTAAAACGCCGGCTTGAGTGGTTGCAGTAATTACAAAAATCATTAAAGAATGCCACCAGCATTATCATAAGGATAAGTTGAAGAATCAACATAATAGAGTTCGCCTCGCAGTCGTATGGTAGATTTCTACTGCGTTTATCCCAGTATGTTGATGCGATTCCTCAAGCTAATAGTTTGCTTCCCAGGATAAGAAAAGACTGCAGCTTGTGAGAAAGGATTTTACTGTATAGACCAAGGGGTCGAATAAAAAATAAAGCCAAAGCTGAAGTCGAGGCGGAAGGTCGATAGATGCTCAGATGCGCCTATTTATAGTTGTCCCATCGATATCCGATCTATGAGTTGAGTAACACTGAACAATGAGCTGTTGTAGTGTAAAAACAATTGAAGCGCAAAGTAGTGCTGGCATCCACTGAGCAGAGTTTAAGCGAATGGACATCACTACTCACTGCGTTACTTTACTTTTCATGGGGAATACTGACATCCCCAAGAACTGTCAGCTTCTAGTCTGTGAACAGCTTAGTTGTGTTGCAAATTGTGTGATTAATGTGTTGGTTGCGCATACAGCTTAGTTCACCAACTCTTACTTGACCGACTAGTAAACCCACAAATTGCTGCTTTGGTTCCGGTGTACGAAAGTTCTTTGAACACATTTAATCCTTTCCTGTCGAGTTTCAGCCTCCAACACACAGAATTTGCCTTTTTTTATTGTGCATAACTCAATTCCCTACTTACGTAAAGACAGTTTTTGCAAGGATTTAGAATTTTTTCCCTGCAGAATACTTTCTCTATTAATGCTTTCTAGTTTATCCATACATTTTCATATTAAATTTTAGTATTGCAGACCTAATCAACTTATAATCCTCAGAATGTATTTAGTAGGCCTCTTTAACCACATCCACTTAGACTTACTCATTGTTCGGATGCAGTTAAAGGGATACTGATTTGATAATCAAATTTGCGCTCTCAAATTTTTTCCATCCCCAAAGGTTCAGCCTGGTACTATGGTAAGTCAAAATACATTTACCTCTAACTCGAATGACGGTCCTTTTAAATACTTCGGATTTCAAGCTCAGACCACAAGTCGTGTTTTAGCACAGAATTAAAGGAGACAAAGGTGACACCATAGTTTATTAGTCAGCTGTAGTCTTCAAGTGACATAAATAGTTATTTGATTTCAAGCGCATCAGCTCATTAACTTGATGTTTCTGATTCCAAACTTACCAACATTATTAGCTGTCCCTTCAATAGGAATTTACACAATGGCCACAATCACGATAATGCAGCTTTGTGGATGAGTGACGTAAGTGAAAATGGTTAAACAACATATTGTTGAAGAGTCCCGATATGGGTTCTAGACTCCCACTGGGGCAACTTTATTCTAACTGCTATTGTTGCCAGATTCAAAACCGAGTGCCCAAGAAAAATTCATGTACTTACTCATTGTGAAATCTGGCGAGCCTTGCGAACATCCCAGCTTTAAAACAACATTCCCCTTGGCCAGAGCGTGTGACAACCTTTTCTGTACACTGATCAGCTAGAAGATCGTGCACAAAGTTCTTGATTGTCGATTTCCAGTGCTTGGTACAGGGCCAGAGCTTGATAAAGTTGGTGATCCAGGCCATTTGGTAATAAAACCTGCTTTTCCTGCGTCATTTCTCAAAGTTGTTTAAAGGTTGCACGTCGTGTCAGGAACTAAGGTTAGAAGAACTAGAGACAAGAAGAGGCACTCAAGTGTGGAGGATTCCAATGTGTTTAGCCAGGCCATTTGCAAGGGTCAGGATGAGCAGAACGAAAGCAAAACCGTGGCCCAAGACATTGTCGCGTGCGACTGACGATAATAAGTTTTCATCTGAATTCTTCGTGACAGCCAAAGCATTTAAAACTGCAAACAAGAATTGTGGCAGGTGACATAATCACTCCAAGTGAGTTAAGATACCATCTTGCGATATTTATTTTACAATAACATCTCGCAACACCGATGATGTAGTTTGTGATAGAGTTCAATTTTAGTTCTCAAAATGGCTGCCCAGTCATTATTTTATTAAAGCAAAATTTAATTAATTCCACTTATCCATAAAGTGCCAAATCGATTACAAATGACAGAGTCATTTCCAAAGCAATTACATGTTTTTTTCTTAACAGTTTTGAAAAGTGAGTGTTTTACAAAAAAAACTTGCTGTTTGGAAATCTTATTTGATGATTCCAGGAGATGATGGGTCATTTATTCGTGTTAGAATAATATGCCAAGTTCTTTATAGTCACCAAATTTGAAATGTGGCGACTTCACAGATTCAGAAGTTCTATTTTAATAACACGACCCAATGAATTTCCCTTTAGAAAACGATAAAACAACTTTAGGCGATTGTGAAATCCACAAATGTGCTACTGTCTTGAGTACATTAATGAGAGAAAAATAACTCATTGTTCAACGCAGACACAAATAAGATATGGTAAGGTTATAGTTATAAGTATAGTGATCGTAAATTAATAGCAGGTGAAACTCTAGGAATAAAAAAAACAATAAAGCAGGATCGTAAAGTTTTCTATTTTATACTGCAACTTTGGTCATTTCATGTGCTTTTGCAAAATCAAGTAAGTTTTTATATTTTAATTCGCAAAGTAAAAGTCCACCAGGAGGTAAATGCTGTAATGCCAAGTTAAAACTGCACACACTGAATTGAATTTGTGACGCACTTCTGGCTTTTCCTGACCCGTATCAGGGGTTGTAAACAGATTTATTAATAATCAATGTCCTACCTTAAATGTTATTTATCACTTGCATTGTTATATTCAGATTTTAGCAGTAGAAAAGCCCATATTAACCAGAAGTGTGGTAAAATTTGCCACCATTAACCTGTTTGGACCGACAGGATAGAAGCAACATAAAAAACTGTCAAGTATATCTATCCTTTTTCGCTGCCTTTAAAAACTTGCTCAAATAAAGGGAAATAAAATAACCAAAAAAATTGTTCCTATATATGCGTGGAATTCGGCAGAAAAAATTTAGTTTTAATTACCTTTTCGCTTCGCACATCTTTTGATTTTAAAACTACTGAGGCGTTTTTACCTGATTGGGTGCAATATAGTCTGTTATGCTTCTCGCTGAGAGGGGAACCGAAGATTCTTTAACAGGTGGTTCTGTGGCATTTGCAGAGGACTTGGATTTTAAATCCTCTAGTCTTGTTAAAAGAGCTCGTCGTGTTAATAATGTCGCCGACGCTTCTATCAACTTAGAAGAACGTGAGTTTACGAATGATTTCATATAGTTCTCTTTGATGTAAAATTGTCATTGATTAGAACACATTGCTTTCTTTTTCTTGTATCTAACTGTGATTTTTTTCGGTGCAATTGCCTGGTTGCCCATTACAATGCCACCACGATGTGTAACCTGGCCATAATATGAACGCTGCAGAGCAGATTATTTGATTAGCTGCACACGTGCTGTCTAGGTATTTCTGTGATTCCTCTTGGCCTTGATTCTTGCTCAATATTCTTATTCAATGTGAGGTGCTCACTAAAAAATCAAATTTGACTGCCATTTGAAATCATGTGAAAACTGAAGTTAAACTCGCTTAGTGATTCATAGAGATTCTTGGCATCACTAGTAAGTACTTATTTTACGAACCCGTTGTGGTTATTCAGTGCTCTGATCCAGTCGTTTGCATATCCCCTCGTTTGTTGCTGCCCCGTTGTACGTTGTTGACCTACCAGTAGAAGCAAAATCTTTGCTAGTTGTGTAATGTGTAGAGGGATTGCTATGGTCTTATTATTATTAACCTCACAGAAAACAATGACGATGTAGAGCGCATTGCCCGCCGTCGGTCACGATTGTTGGAGCCTCACCCTGATGTCGTCAACAGTCCAGCTCATGATGCAGCTCGTCGGGCAGCTGCTGCCCATTTTATGCCTCGAGCTCAAGTTGGTGAACACTACGGCAACTGCATTCGCCTAGCCGCTGAAAACAAGATCACTTACAAAAACGCCTTTGACCTCCATCTCATTGATTTTATGGGTGAAATGATCAAAAAGGAGGATTTTACGAGCTTTCGTGTATGTTTTCCATTTATTGTCTGTTTTGTAACTTACTTATCCCAAGTTACGGTAAATTCTCTTATGCTGTCCTCTCACTTGACTTTTATTTACCACAGGACGGGCCAAAGCAAAAAGCCGTGATGTGTTAAGATTTCCACTGAACAGACACTACGCTTTAAACATCCAGTATTCAAATTTAGCAAGAATCAAGCCATGAACGCAACACGTGCTTCGCAAGCTGTTGTGTGCGCGTGTGTAACATGTAAGAACACTGGAGTCAGCCATTTTTTGATCTATTCTTTTTACGGAATAGTGAAGTGATTTATGAATATTATGGAACAAGCTAGAGGTTTCCATAATACTAGACATCTATTTCATATTACGCAAGTTGTCCAGAAGGTGTTCGTTAACCGATGTAGTCGTTAGAACTATTTTTTTTCCTTATGAACTCGAACGCATTTTTTGCATTGTTTGGGCAAATTGCTCACAAGTACCTCAGCAACTCTCCAAATTTCAACTACGGATGTTATAAATAAACTGCTAGGAATTCAGCTTCCTCCGTCCTCAAACTCGCGTCACTACTTTTTCTTCGTGCCTACGATTTTAAAGTGCACATTTATCGTCTTGTCGGTTTGAGGGCTAATATGTTTGATCAGTGATGCTGGTCTGTCCGGTCTTGCCGAACACAAATTCAGCACACTTACGACTTAGCTGTCTGTTTAGTAATAGTTAAAATTTCATTCTATCTTACACCTCGCCAGATATTCTGTTCTACGACACTTCCCATGTGACCTCTCATTGCATCGTCTTGCATTTGTGTAGATGGCAAGCTCGTCACTCGACGCAAGTGCAAAGATCTACGCAGGTCGCGTAGACGCCGTCCACCAGGAGACCTACAAAGTTCTGACCGGGCTGGGGCGTTCAGACTCGAAGTCCGCTAAAGCCGACGACGGCGCTGATGAACCCCAGGCGCCCGCAGACGGTGACGAGTCAATCGACGACTTGGGTGGGGCGTCTGAGCGGAAGCGAAAAGAACGAAAACGGGCTGCGAATTCGAAGAACGTTATTGTCACCGGTCTGAGTAAAATCCGCTCCAGAATTAAAGCTTCTGATGGCGATGTAAGCATTCTCTCCAAAATGTGGTACCTTACTCTCCAAATAAGTATAGAACATACCATACTGTCACCGCACTTTTTTGCGCCCAAGTCTGTGAGTTTCCATCGCGAAAATGTGTAACTCATTTGCGATAAATCGTGTCCCTGTTCGTTTTGTGCATTTGTTCCGAATTGGAACCTAGGTGCGCGATAGTGCATGCTTGCTGTGTGTTTTTGCGGATTATCATCACGGCGGAGATTACTAGTAGACACGTGGCACTGCGTGTGCGGATTGATTACCTCACCGTTCATGGACAAGTAGCAATTCAGCATTCATGCCTTTTGTTAATGTTCTCGGTGTCTACCTTTTTCCCAGGTTGACCCATTGTTCCAGCAACAGGCAGCAGCGTATGATGACGGTGGTACAGTGGAGCTACAGCTAAACCGTTTGCGGACGCACTCCAAATTCAGCGAGCTCCTGCAGGACTCCAACACGCCGCTTTTTCGCCCTCGATCTGAGGTCGATTCCCTCACCTGCTGCACCCGACTCTTGGAGGTGCCCCAACCCTTCGACTCCCACACACTGGAGGCATCTCTGTGTTTGGCCTTCGATAATTTCCATTTCAATAAATCGGACGATGACGTCAGTGTGAGTGACACTTCTTTTGACATTAATCAATCTTGATTGACTAGATTTTGGTAGTCAGTGCTTCGAGTGTGTCTCTTAGTCGACAATTCACTGCTATGAGCAGGTACAGTTTGTATCTAGGGCTGAGCAGCTACTTGACAACACCCAACAAAGAAAATGGCCCTGCCAGGCGGGCACGCCATTTACTCACATGCTGGGCGTGATGTATCATTGTGGCGCTCGTGCGTGTGTGTGTGTGTGTGCGTGTATTTGTCGCGAGACGCGTCTAGCTGCATATGACAACCTGTTTGGACGAGCTTTTAGTGGTAAGCCTCGCCGACAAGCCACTACAGATCTTAAGGCATTAATTTCCTCTTGTTTCAAGTTTACTGCGACAGGGCTTCTGACTCACCAGGTGTTCTGTTCTGTTCTGTTTACAGTCCCAACTGGCCCCCTTAAGTCCTCTGTTTGTGTCCGAGGCCGGCGATTCCGGCAGCGTCACACCGGTTCCTCAGGCCTCCCCTCCTCTAATGGAGATTGACGATGACGACAATCCCTTGCCGTTGCCCGACGCTGATCCGGGTAAGTTATTTATTGGGACACCCAGATATCTGTGTTGCTACGGTAACAGGTGTGGTCCTAGTTTCTAGTGCTACCTTGATATTACGCAATAGTGCAAGATGTAGTAGTTTGACCACTGCTCACTGGATGCCGTGTTTCCGTTTACAATTAATAAATTGTTGAATCGAAGAGATTTGGCCGGCGGTAACTGTGATTGTTTCGGACCTTTCTACCCCGGTAAAGCACGATTTTGCGAGTGGACACAAGCCTTCTCAGTTAGCACGTAAATTGCAGTAGTTTGACTATTCCCTCACTTTGTCAACTTCAGATGCTGTGGTTGTGATTGGCTCGTCAAATGCAGCCGTTCGATTCGCTGAAAAGAATGACGTTGTCGCAGTTCCTGCAAGCGACCGGTAAGTCTTCACCTTCTTGCTTTGCTACCGTGCCTTGTCGCTATCGCCCTCCTTAGTCGTGCAGTTAAATCAAGGTTAATGTCAACTGTCATTGCCGCTCTTGATTCAGGTGTTTATTTATGCGGCCAATCGGCACGGCGCGCGAGTCCGCCTTCCGTGTCGCGTTCATAAGTGCGCTGAAGGCCCCGGCATGTAGTCGTGCACCGCGAAGGGACCGCTAGGCAGAATCGGTCCGTCCATGCAACACACAGATAGCCGAAAAAATTAAGATCAAAGGCGGCAGAGGCAACTGTTTACTACATAGCTCAACCCAATTGTCTGCCGCGCCACTGTGCTCAAATAGATTAGTGCCTAAATGATGGGACTTGTTTACCAATAGTCTGGGTAAACGCCTAAAAGTGCAAACTCTCGGATGGCTAGGCAAGTGAAAAACTGGTTAGTGTGAGGGAGGTACACGAACAGACGGTTTCCCATAATCAATAGAATCGGATTTATACGCCGCTAAGGACCAATGTCAGTGAGTGTCACAGCGGTGTTGTGTGCCGGACACTGGAACTTAACTTCAGTGCTTCCCTTTACCCTCAATCTAACACGAAAAACTGATTTTACGGCATATGTAACTTTAACCCTTCTGTGAACCAGGTATGCTGCTTTCTTGATCGTCTGCTTTGTTCTGTCGAATTCGTCCTCGCTGGATGTGGTGAATAAGTCAGTCAGAATTTCGCTTATTTTGGCCAGATCAGTAGCAGAGGTACAGGTGCTGTGGCTCAGAATCAGTCCGGCGTGAATTGCCTGTGCCTTCCGTGAGGCAGGCCTAAAACTGTGTGTTGTTGGGCGTTCAGGGCCGCAGGTCAGCATTTTTACCTGTTTTAGGAGTCCAACCGAGGCAGCCAACGGTGAAGGCGAGATGTTTGTGACCAGCCTCAAGACAATGCTCACCAACCACATTGAGAACTTCGGCCACGTGAACGACGGCGTCCTCGGTCTGTGGGCCGGCCCGGAGCACTGGCGCAAGAAGGCGAAGCGCCGAAGGCTCGACGAATTCGGCAGTACGTGTCTTCTTCACGTCCGTGGTTTTAATTGTGGTCTCGGCTCTGCATGTTACCACCATACGATGAGAGCTGTTTGTTGAAGCATTCATGGGGAACAGGGGAGCTTGTCTTGACCTTGGGATCTGCACCCTTACTCTAAATTAAGTGTATTTTTTTGGGCAGAATCCCTGCTTCGGCATAAACGTTACTTGCCCTGGGTTCTCGCCAATAACAGAATAACCTTGAAAAAGGGGCGAATCAGTTCGGCCAGAAGCGGGACCGGTGAAAATAGATGATTAACTCACAGCATTGGCTTTTTTTGTCTGTACCGGCGTGTCATCGTCTTTTAGATGTGGCAGCTCCCGTAGAAGACGTGGAGAATGTCATCGAGGTTGGCAAAAGTTCGCGCGCGAAAGTCACCAAGATCAAGCGACTCAACATCGACTACGCTCCTGCCCTCATCGACGCTGGTGAAAATCAATCCAAGTACGTCCGCCTGATGCAACCACGAGTCACACTCATTTCCCGTCCTGCTCTGCTGTGATCAGTGGACGCATGTGTTCTTTGCATCGTTGCACACACTTGCATTGTCAGATGTTATTATTGAGATCTAAGCAACCGATGCACTGGTCGGTCGGCTAATTCCAGGTAGCGTAGGGTTAAATCCGTGACTACTTTTATTCAGATTCCTGGTTAGCGTAATCGAATGAGACCATAGTGCTGAAGGTGGTTTGGCCTGATAGCGCTTTGGTGGTGTTGACCTGGACGGTTTCAGAGCTGGTCGTTTTGTGAAGCCGCTTAGCGTGGAAACATGTTACCGTTAGAGAATAATCGTGCTGTACTGGCATTGTTCACACCTGTATTATCAGATGTTATTATTGAGATCTAAGCAACCGATGCACTGGTCGGTCGGTCGGCTAATTCCAGGTAGCGAAGGGTTAAATCCGTGACTACTTCTGTCTAGATTCATGGTTAGCGTAATCGAATAAGCATTTTCAACCTCCATATGGTCACCATTCTCGTGTGTGATGTATCCTGATTTGTCCACATTTTGTACGGGCTGTCCTCTGGTTTATCAGCTTTAGGGGAGATCAGGCCGCAAAATTACGTGGATTTTTTTCTAATTTCGTTAGTCGAATTGGTCGTTTGGCCTGATATCGCTTTGGTGGTGTTGGCCTGGACGGTTTCAGAGCTGGTCGTTCTGTGAAGCCGCTTAACGCTTAGTCAGAATAGTCGTGCTGTACTGACATTGCCAAGTGGCACATTGCACGGGGTCATCAGGGAATTCCCATTGGCCACTCGTCTCTTTAATAGGAGCGGGTGTTTGGTGCGCAGCGATTGGTCCAAACAGCTCGAGGCCTACACCAAAAAGAGCGGCAAGTCCCCAGTGCTAAGGGAGCAAAATCGACGCCAAGCGTCTGAACGCTTCAACTTACTGCCGCCTTCCATTACCGGAGCTCGCCAAAACATCTACGAGCTGTGCAATCGCGTTGTAATGACCAATCTGACGGACAAGAAGACCGACGAGGCGCGTGAGAACGCAACGGCCAGCGCCATGGCCGGCGGCGGCATTGTGGTAATTATTACTATTATTAAAAGTACCACCTACTTATTTCTTTTTCAGTAGGCTATTGATAAAATTGCTCCTGGTATAATTTTTATTTTGTCTAGTTCCCCGCAGGTGTTGTAAGTTACTTAATTGTGTGTTTTGTGTTTTACATCACCGAATTTGTTGCACAAGTTGTCATCTTGCTTGCACTTTTGATCTTGTTAAGTTATAATCGCCACCACTACAATTTTTCGCTTGTGATTAATGATTTTGGTATCGGAATGAAGTCCTTCAAGGCAACATCTGAAATCTTTTTTGCTCTAAACACAGTTTACCCGTCTCTGAATTCATTAAACGGGCAAAGCGTCAAGTTCTATATAAGGGAGGGCGAACGGGGAATAAATACGCCTACATCGACTTGTGGTTTTTTAACTTAAAAGGTTTTTCTTGTTTTTTTTTTCGTGTGTTGATGGTTTAAACGAATTCGAATTTTTGTGACCATGTTGATTATTGAATGGTGTAGTTCTTCTCCCAATGATAAGATGGGATCGACCGTAGTAAGCAGGGACTTAACCTTCCCGTTACGACTTCCCTCCGTCGTTTCCACAACTAGTGTAACCGTAATGTAGTCTGCGCTGTAGAAGGTATCATCGCCACATGATGTGTCTGCCTTTAAAGCCCGCAAAAGTTTTGTGGTATCTAAATTTGCTCACCTGTTTGGCGATGGTGTTAAGCTATTTCCCGTCTTGTTGTCTTGGTATGGGGTAATCGTTGTAGCATTGGCCGAAATTTGGGATTCGATGTTGAATCAAATGAAAATTTGCCATCAAAGACTGTAATACAACTTGTTTTGCAGAATATCTTACAAATATTTATGAAAATATTACGCTAATTTAGTAGTTCCTGCAGAAACTGTATTGCGATTTCGAGGAGGTCTCATCAGTGCGTGCTTAATTACCAGCCACCTTTTTTGATGTATGTGCTCAAGCACGCAGGAGGCATTGTAAATCGGTCATCGTTTAAAATTTTATTTTATCGCATCTCGTGCAGTTGAGGCTGAGAGCGATCCACTGTTTACCAA